GGGTAGCCTGGAGCTGAGTGGGGAAGGGAGGGCCTGAGCTGCACCAAATACCAGAGCTGATAGGGATGGAGGAGATGGTCCCAGGCAGGAAAAGGGATTGACCTCAAGGTTTTGGGACCCTTGGAGGGGGTCTGGGGACGCTGCATGGTCCTGCAGGGAGGAGATGTCCTTTGAAGCAGGTCTGGGGATGCTGTGGTCCATTGGGGAAAGCACTGCACAATGCTGTGAGCTGGTGATGGGCAGGGTGGGACCCCAAAGGGCTCAGGGTGTGAGCCAGAAGCTGGACTTTGCTTTTCACCCCTCGGGGTGCAGCACAGCCCTGCTGACACTCCTCTCTCTCCCAGCGCTCGGAGGGGGTGAAATCCTCCGTGCCGGTCCAGAAGAGTCGCCTGCTCTCCTCGGAGGGGGTGGCGAGCAAGCGCAACATCTTCGAGGGAAGCGCTCCCAGCAAGGCGGAGCCGGCGGCTCTCAGGAAGGTGAGGCAGAAGCTGCGGGGAGCTCGGAGCGGCTCCTGTGCTGGGGCAGGCACCGGCTGCCGGGATAATCTTCCCCTCTTCGGGTACCCGGCTCAGCCTGGCACGCTGCTGCAGGGACTGGTGGGTGCCAGGGCTGCGTTTGGGCACAGGAACTGCCCCGGCACTGTGTGGGTTCCTGCCGAGCGCTGGAATTTGAGGAGCTGGGATGGAGCCAACGTGTGGGCTGGGCTCTGCCGGCTGCAGCTCCGCTCTGTCTCCCCGTGCCCTGGAGACTGGGCCGGGTTACATTCGTGCAGAGGGAGAACTGCTGCTGTAACCCTGGTGTCTCTCTCTGTGCCACAGGACAACCTGAAGATCCCAGGATCGGTGACATCCCGCATTAATCTGTGGATCAGCCGAGCTCAGGAGCCTGCCAAGGAGGAAAACAGCAAGGTACCAGCTTGTGCCAACCTCAAGTGAGAGCTCTGAGACCAGGCAGTCTCACAGGACATGGTGCTGCACGTCGGGGTGGGGTTGAAGGGATGTGGATGAACCCTTGGCTGAAGATATTAAAGGGTTTGAGATCAGTTTAGACAGGTTTGGAGGTCTCAGAGCTGCAGGCCACCAGGATGAGATATCAGGGCTCTACTTGTTGCTGTGTCCTAACTGTGATCCCGAAATTCCCAAGACAGCTGATTCCAGCCCTTGGTGGGTTGAGGAGGGAGCAGGAGCCAGCTGGGTGCATGTCCCAGGACACACAGGGGTACCTGACCCTGCCACCCCAGCATGATCCCATCTCTGCCATGCCATCTCCTCTGTCTGGATGAGCAGCTCTGCCTGGAGGCCAGTGGGAGAGGAGCTGTGTGCTTGGCCCTTCAGCTCTGAGGGGCTTGGAGACCTGTGTGTGCTTGGACAGGTCCTGGTACATGAGGGGTCTGGAGTCATCTGCACCACATCTGCACATGAAACCAACCCCCAAAACTAGGGGGTCTTGTGGCTGAGGATGCAGAATGCCCAGCCAAGGGGACTCAGAGGTCATAATTTGGCCACCGTGGCTACTCTCTGGACGTGTGCAAGAGAGGGACAAGACAGTCTTTTGCCCCAGGGTGGTTTGGTGTTGTTGGAAAGGAGGGGCTCAGCAGGTCCTGGGCAGGTCTCACTGCTCATAGCAGAGAGGGCTTTGGCCACTGCTCGTGGCAGCCACCTGGCCCAGGACGCACAGCTTCAGCCCAGCCCTACAGCCAGGGAAGGCGAGTGCAGGCTGGGCTGGGAGATCAGCAGTGCCCAGACATGTCTGTGCCAGGCAGCTGTGCCAGCAAAGGGTTTGCTCCTGGGTCACTCCTGGGGGAAGCCTGCAGCTCCTTGATCAGTTCTCCTTTAATAGCACTTGTTCCACTTCCGTGGCTGGAGCTGCACTTGGTTTTAAGGGTCTTCTGGATCCCAAAGCTGGCTGCTTTTACCTGGACAATGTGTGCTTCAAGTTTAGGTACAGTCAGACCAAGGCAATGCTGCACAAGATGCATGGGGAAAACTTCCTCCTGTCACTTTCGACTCTCCTGTTTGCAGGAAATCCGGAGAATCAACAGCCTGGCAAAACGAGACATCTGGATAAAGCAGCCTGGAGACACCTCTGGAGACACCAAGGTAATTATGAAGCTGCTCTGAAGCCTGGTGCATCCTCTAAGGCAGGGGCAGAGCCAGGATATGGGGGGAGAGGGGATGTGGGAGTCATCAGGACCCTGTGACTTTGGGGACTCAGCAGGAGGGGACAGCTGGAGGCATCTGTAAGGGAGAGAAGGACTCTGGTCTGGGAGGTGAAGGGAAGTGGCCTGTGATAGGATTTAGAGGATGCCTGCCTGCCCCATCCCCTGCTGGGCACAGCCTCTGTCCGGGTTAAAGCAGCTGCATCTGTGGTGGGGGGGTTGCAGCCTCAGGCACAGCCTCAGTGATTCCCACTTTCTTTTCCAGTTGCAATAAGACCATCTGGGAAAAATTGGTTTGCTCCAAAGATCAAAGCCCAGCCCTACCCAACTGTCCAGCAGCCACTGCCACGAGTCCCCTGTGCCACGTATGGGTGCAGCCCAGGTCATGGGGTCCTCTGCTTGTGGGATGGGGAGGAAGAAGCCTGGAAGAGTCTCCCTGTGCCCCCAGTCCCCACTCAACTGCCTGTCTGGGGGTGTCCAGGCCTACAGGCTCCCCACAGATGCTGAAGGCAAACTCCTGCCTTGTTTGCCCACCACATTTTGCTGTTCTGTTCCTGATCTCTGCCTGTGCCTCGGAACTGCCCTGGCAAAGGGGATCCCTCACACGGCAGCTGGAAGATGTCAGTGGGGCGAGAACCGCCTGGCCAAGGGAGTTCCAGCTGCACATCCATGGACCATGTTGGTCCTTGCTGCCTGGGGCAGGTGGGGCTGGCAGGTTCACCCCCCTGCCAGGCTGTCACTGCCAGAGTGACCCAACCAGAGGCTGATGTTCATGAAGTCACACGAGCGCTCGGAGATGTCTCATGGAAGAAGGGGGGACTTGGCCCTGGTAGCTGAACCAGAGTTGTCCTTGTCCTTGTCACTGCTGTCCCCTGCCCCTGCACGCAGTGACCCTTCATCCAGTGATCCAGGGGGGGTGAGCTGGCCCTGGCCATGGCCACAGCCCTGTCTGGGGGATTTCATGGAGCTGAGTGCCCTGTGCTCAGCCCCATTTCCCTCTTGCCTTTCCTCCTGAGCCCTTTGCTGTGCAGCCCCTCATCCTGCATTTCCTGGGCTGCTGAGCCCACCCAGCAGGGATGGGGGATGCTTTCTCAAGGCCTTTAGGGTGGCTTTACGGTGCCATGGGCAAAGGGCTCAAATTCTCCTATTTGGGCCGTTTTTTGGGTTTGGGTTGTTCCTTGAGCAGCCACTGTGGTGACAAATTCAGTGTGGGAATCTGCTGTTGCCCCTGGAACTGATCTTGCTTGTTGGGCTTGGGAAAGGACTTCGGTTTCTCTGTGCTTTTTTTTTTTTCTAATAAACATTGCTCTTTCTAAGACACTCCTGGTCACCTACTGCTGGTCTGGGACTGGAAACGGTTCCCTTCTCCCGACAAGGGAAAAATAGGGAAAACCCCGAATCAAATGTGTCCTCGGGGGTTCAAAACAGACAATTCCCTTCTCATTGCAGCATCCCGAGCTCGGAGCAGCGGCTGAGGGAGCCGGGTCCGAGAGGCTGGCAGGGTCTGCTCCTGCACTGATGACAGTGCTGCCTTATCAGCGTCCCGGCCCCGGTGACAGCTGGGCTGGCTTGTGTCAGCCCCTCGGGCACTCACGTATCTCGGTCCGGAGGGTTTAAAATAGCAAATCTTTGAGGCCACACAATAGCTTGGGCTTATATGGGCTCCTGGGGGGGAAGGGGGAGCGGCGGAGGGGGCCAGGGCCGCGGCTGCCGAAATAGCAGCTCACAAGTGTTGCATTCCTCGCTGGGCGCCGGGCACATTCCTGCGGCGCTGCCCGCCCCGGGGTGGGCGCTGGAGCCCCCTTAAAGCCTCGTGTCCCAAAGAGCCTTTCCCAGACCCCGGCGATCCCCGCGCTCCCCGCAGCACCGGCGCTCAGGTACGGCCGGGGGGGCTGTGCTGGATCCAGACCCGGGGGGGGTCGGCTCAGGGCTCAGGGTGTCCCCCGGCCGCTCTCCCTGCGCTCTTTTATTCCATGGGGGCATTCCCATGCATAAAGCACCAGGACTGTATTTACGATTTGTCTTTTGAGCCACCTCGATGGGTGCCCAGGTGGCTCAGATGGGCTTTGGCTGCCCTGGTTCCGGGGAAATCTCCCAGATCCCCGTTCCCTTTGTGTCTGCAGGGGACGGCAGGGATGTGATGGCCACGGCCAGCCTGGTCCTGGCTCTCTGGCAGCCCAGGGGTGGGTTAGTGATGGGATGCTCCTGTGCCTGGACTGACCCTGCCAGGCAGGACTGGAGCAGGGACATCACCCATTCCTGGAGCAAAGGGTGGGAAAGTAGAGCTCCATGTGTGGGCAGCCTGGAGGAAAGCAGAGCTTTCAGCCCCAGAGCTGTGAGTGGCCAGCCTTGAGCTAAAGGATAGGGGGGTTTTGAGGAGTGTGAGGAATATCTGGATTGTTTAATACACAGTAAATTCTGGGAGATTTTTTGTAGTCAGTGCAATATTTCCCCTTTATCTCAGTAATGTCTGCTGGGTTCTCCTAATTCTACCAAATCAAGATTTCCAAGCTTTAATGAAAATGTTGATGTGTTTCTGTGCAAGAATGTATAAATATTTCCTTGAGCCACTTTCTTCTTGTGTACTTTCTTAACAGTGCTGGATTTGTTGCTGTTCCCTCAGCTCTGTTGGGATCTCATGGTGTCTGAGGGAGGAGGGCAATGAGAATGTAGGAAGAAGCTTTCACACTGTTGGATCTGGGAACCCTCTTCTCCCATGTCATGAAATGATTGTGTGCAGCCTTAGTTACTCAGAGGCCACACAAATAATTTGGCCAAACTTGGGGCATTAGGACCATGCTGAGCCCAGGGCAAAAGTGGGAATTGATATTCGTGGGGAAGCAGAGTCCCGGGGATGGTGCTGGAAGGGGTGCTCAGAGCCAAGCCCCGGACTCATTACAGGAAAGGGAATTGGGATAGCAGGAGTAGGCAGTGACCCCAAGGCAGAGGGGGCAGAGTTCTGCCTTAATTTGTCTCCAAAAAGCACCTTGTGAGTAACAGTGAGATTAGAGACCCTCTGGAGCCATGGTTATGCCAAGGTTCCCCTCCTAGAATGCCCCTTTCCCATGCTTGAGCATTCCAACCCTGGATCCAGCATCTTGAATAAGCACTCCTGAGGCCTGTCCTACCCATCCTGGGTAATAAATGCTTGACAGATGTAGCCAGGAGCAGTTGTTCCCAGACTCTGGGCAGCAGGAGCAGAGAAGCCTTGCAGCTCTGGGAACAGGTGGTTCAGCACATGAAGTTATTTCCAGAGCTGCCTTGCATCGTCCTGTGGCATCTCAGCCCTGCTGAGGGCTGCCAGAGCAGGGGACAGGGCTGGGCTGGGCTTGGGGCTGGAGCTCTGGGCTGCTCCAGGATGCCCAGGGATGGGGCTGGTGTGTGCAGATCTCACAGTGCACTGTTGGGTGAAGGTCAGATGAGGTGAGGTGATGAGCAAAGTCCTCCTGGGCACAGCTGGAAGGGAGACAGATGTGCTGAAAGATGAAAGGCTGTTTCTGCAGAGGTTTTAGCCCTAAAACCAGGGCTAAATTACTAAACCAGGCTGTAAATTGTTCCTTTTAGCTAACAGAGGAGAAATGCTCCTGCTGAACCCAGGCTGCCCCTTTCCCAGCAGTTCTGTACTGGGAGGGCTGGGCTGGGAGGGTTTGCTGAGGCCTTGTGCTGTGCCTGGTGCAGGGCTGTAAATCTGAGAGAAGGGGTAGTTTCTGAGCTAAGAATAGCCAGGAAGCAAAACAAGCTGAACACTGCAGTGGGGTGATTTTCCTGTCGCCTGAGCAAACACAGCCCCTGAGAGGGCTGGGCCAGGGGGGCTGAGTGCCCTGGACATGGCTCCTGACAGAGTTATCAGTGTGACAGGGGGCTGTGTCCAATCTCCTGCCTCCTGTTTGGGGCAAGCTGTGATCCTGGGACAGGAGTGGGACAGGCAACTTATCTCTGCTGAGATAATGCTGTCACAACCTGGCTGGGGACAGCTGGAAGCTCCAAGTGCTTTGGAGAGAGGCAGAATCTCTGTGCCCCTGTCCTGGTGCTGACGACAGGCTGTGCTGGCCCTTATCTCACTTCTAACCCTCACTTTCTCCAATCTGCCTCAAACTCTGCCAGAGAACCAGGGATGTCAGACACGGAGGAGGTCACCGAGGAGTATGAGCAGTAAGTGGAGTGCTTTTAACCCCCTTTCTTTCTCCCTATTCCCACTTGCCCACTGCAGCATGTCTTGGAAGTGCTCTCATTGTTGCCCCAGCACCCACCACAGATCCCCAGCCTGTGCCCCTCTGCTTTGGCAGTGCCTGACCCCAGCAGTGGGAATTGGTGCTGGGAGCTGTATCCACCCCTACGAGCAGGACAAGGATGGTTCCTATATTAAAAATGCTGCAGTCTAAATCTGGGAGACACAGATGGGAAAACCTGAGGCCACCAATCTGTTGCTGATGGGGTCCTGCTGCCACATCCAGAGCATCAATCTCCAGGGCCCAGATTTGAGAGCAGCTTCTGCTGATGGAGGCTGCTGGGCCAGGAGGCACATCCTGGAGAGATGGGGTTGGGTCATAGGGGTGAGTTTGAGCACAGCTCCACTTCTCATCCGCCCACAGAGAAAGGGACCTGAATCCTCTAGTGTTTCAGTGCCACACCAGACTGATGTCTGACCCCCTGGGACAGACTTTGCATCTCCCCCACAGTCAGGGAAGGACTTGGGGACAAAGGTGGGATGTGAGATGCCCCTTTCTGGGATTACAGGCCAAGGTCACTCATTTTCTCATGCTGCAAAATGGTGAGGTGCCCTGACCACTGTGAAAGTGCCAGTCCAGACCTTCAACCCCTGTTCTCCAGAGCCTCCAGGGTGACCTGGGCCTTGTCCCTGTCCCCAGTGCCACCTGACAGCCACCCACACAGCAGCCCTGGCCCTGTGCTATAAGAAAGGGGAGCAAGCCTCAAGGAAATCCCAGATTTCTCAGCCTCACTGATGGGTCCCCTTCCAGCAACTCGATGTGACTCTGTGAATTCCTGTTGTGCTTTGCAGGGAGCAGGAAGGTAAGAGGACGTGGAGCACCTGCAGCTGCCCTGAGGCAAAACACTGATCAGAGAAACTCCAATAACCTGAGGCTTCTTCTCCTTTTCTCTGTCTGTGCCCTGTGTGCTCTGTGAAGAGGAGTGCGTGGAGGAAGGTAGGAGTTGCACCTGCAAGGACCAAGAGCCAAGTGCTGGGGCTTCAGGTGTTTTGCTGGGGGATTTGGGGATCAGCTCCTGGGTTGCAAAGGGCAAATCGTGTCCAGGAAAGGCAGATGTGACCGTGTTTGAGATGCCTGCACCTGAAACATCAGTAAGATCAAAACTAGTCTGAATTTTCTCAGGATCTCTTTTGTCAGTGATCCTTTGACTCAAACCAGGGCTGACAATGCTGGACATGAGTGCTGGCAGAGGTGTGATCCCAATGTCCCAACGGGAGCTGGAGTCTCTGCTGAACGTGTGACAGCCATGCCCAAACTCAAACTTCCACCTGCCTCAGCCTGAGGGAGACAAACACTGGGCTGGGCTGGGGAGCTGGGCTGGGGAGCTGGGCTGGGCTGGGGGGCTGAGCTGAGCCTCTGGCTGCTTCAAGGCATTGCCAGGCAAAACCCTGAGTGTAAAAGCAAAGAGAGTTGCAGGGGGAAGCCCCTGCAGTGCACCAGTCCTCATCTCACGCTTGCAAAAACTCTCTGGCACCCAACTAATCCCTGTGCTTATTCCTTCCCTCCCCCCTGGCTCAGAAGAGGAAGAATGGATAGAGGAAGACGACGGTAGTTATTGCATCTTTCATTATTTCCTCTCTGCTCTTGGGAACAGTTGTGGGTTGATGTGTTCTGCCTCTCCCTGGTTGGGGAATGGTTTTCTTTCATTCTTCCACTTCTCTCTCTTCTTCCTGCACTCTACTCATGCCTGCTGTGCTGTGTGTCCATCCTCTGTCTGTGCCTTGTCTCTTATATCTGCCAGCCATGGTTTGCTGTCTTTGCTGTTTTCTTTTTCTTCCCTTCTGTCTGGCTGTGGCCAGCAGGCACAGCACAACTCTGGCTCCAGTGGAGGAATCCTGTGGGGACGCTGCTCCCTCCAGTGGAAAAAGGCTCCAGCAGTGTCACAAATGCGATTGAGAAGGTGTCAGAGGCACCTCCTCAGCCACTCCTGGAGTTCACTGCTGGAGCAGAGCAGTAGAAATCCCTCCTCCCTTCCTGGGGTGTGAGGGAATGGCAGCTGAGGGGGGATGAGGGACAAACCAGGAGGTGGCGATAAATCCTTGACTTTGATTAATTTTAGGGGGTTTTGCCCTGGTGAGCACAGAGCAGCCC